AAAGCCGGAGTCACACTGCTTATACATCATACAAAAGAGAGTGCAAACAGATTCAAACGCGAGCCACAACGAGATCTGAGCTTCGAATGCCGTACGGCAGCGAGTTCAAGGATACACTTGGCAGGCGGCATTTCAACCACGGATATCGTGGTGACTGATACCTGCAGACTTTCTTTTGTGTAATGTATAAACAGGGTGACCTCGGCTTAAAGGTACATCTAGTAGAAGCAAACTCCGCAATATGACCCGCGAAAATGGCGTAATAGATATTAAAAATATTAAAAGACGGGCAACACGGACTTCACTATATAGTATCAAACCTCGTGCTCAGGCTTAAAAAACTATACGCCAAACAACGTGCGGAGATAAATGAAAAAAAAAATGCAGCATGATTATTTTTTAGGGAAATCCAAATTTTTTAAGTACGGAGCTATTTTTTTTTTCGTTTTATATATGCTGCAGATTGCAGTCAAATATATCAAAAGGCTCGCTTGTAGCGCTAGCCTCCACGTGTCCAAATCAATATCTCAAATTCAATAATTAAATAAACATCACAACTTGTCTATCTATGTCCCCGGAGCAGCTTTTCACTGTTCTACAACACTACACAAAAATTTGTAAGTAGAAGTTGCAGTAACTCGACGTAACAATACTTTTTCTTGGGTTCTTCTGCCTCGCGCCATGCTGTCGATGACTGGGTTGGGAGCGCCTCCCCGCGGAAAGACGCCGCCTCCTTCTTTTTTTCCGACTACGCCCTCTCCGCACGAATGAGACGGTCGGAGAAGCGTTTGCGCTAGTGGTGCAATACTATCAATAGCACTATCGATAGTCCCCAGAAATTTGACTATCGATAGAAAAAACTATCGATAGTACTGTCGACGGATTACTATCGATAGTTTTGCGAAACTTGTAGTCTGCGTCGATCCCTCTTCTCTTTTTCTCGCTTTATTCTTTTCAAATGGGACACCAATTAGCCCAAGCACTTACCATAGTTGTGAAACACTATCGATAGTACTATCGATAGTATCGATAGTCACCAGAAATTTGGCTATCAATAGTAAAAAAAGACTATCGATAGTATTATGGATTGTCGACTATCGAAAAACTATCGATAGTACTATCGGTTGTCGACTATCGAGAGTTCTGCGGCACTATCAATAGTTTTGGAAAAACTGTCGATAGTATCGATAGTTTTGCATCGCTAGTTTTCGCGCTTCGGGACAACACCTCCTAGAAACTAAGGCCGTAGCGCTGTTCTCGTGACGTCGCAAAGGAAGGCCATCGGGGGCGCGCGTCGAAGCGAATGTAACGCGCGTAGATCGACCGTCGTAACCCGCTTTTAGTCACACGTGTCATATTAGCTAAAATAAAAGCTGCACATAGCAACGGGGCTAGAAAACATTTTATTACACGGGCGAAATATTGCACCGCTAAATAATCGATACGAAATGGCATAATTGAGGTATGCGTTTAAGACGTGCATAGAGAAATGCGATTGTGTTATGTCGAAAACACCGAGTCACCCAATTATTGCTGCAGGAATGCATATTTTATACAGAACTACTTCGACAAAATGGCAAGACACGCAGTGACTGGACACAGCAACACAGATCACAGCGGCGGCGTAGACTTTCCATTTTCCCGAAGGGGGGGGGGGGGGGGGGGTACAGGCTGAAAAGTTCTCCGGGGGGGGGGGGGGGGGGGGGGGGGTGCTGCGCGTTACTTTTTCGCCAAAACTGGAGATTGAAGCTAACGAAAGCACGCTGGGATTCCATTTCCCATGTATTTTGTCAATAAAGGCAACGTGGGCGTTATTTTGTTTACATGCCGCTACTATAGAAGCTCTTTACATGGCATGTAAACAACGTCTCGGTAAGGATCAACGTCCGGGCTCGCGGGAGGCTCTGCCACCCCGCCCCCCCCGGATCTCACCAGGGGGGGGGGGGGGACGAGCCCCGTTGCCTCCCCGAAGTCTACGCCTATGGATCACAGTAATAAATCAGGTAGACGTAGTCAACGCGGACACGGCGAGATAAGTGTCACTTACGAGCATGTAAGCGATATTATCGCGTGCAGTCACTAAATTCCTGCGTTATACCCCGGCCACATTGCAAAATTAATGTAATTCCGATCGAATTACAATATGGGGTCGACAAATCAGCTTGCGACGCTCGTATTATCACTCAAGACCGCGAGCTGATTAAATCCCATATCATTTAATGGAAATATAGAGTGGTCCAAGTCACTATAGCTCGATCTAAAATGGACCGTAAAAATCGACGCCTACACGTAGCATTCTAGACGTTTCTTCAAATGTGTTTTTCACAGGTCGGTTTTTTTTTTGTAAAATTACAACGCATAGTTCTCTTTCTGAAAAAAATAAGGCCAAGAAACTTGCCAGGGTCTACGGCGGGCAGCCACGCAGACGACAGGGGTTCAGAAGCGGGGTGTGTTTCGCGTTCGTATTGATAGATGGCGCTACCCCCTTATCGCGACAGATCGCCACCATCGTGGTTTATTAAAATGAACATAATCTTTTTGAAATGTAGCTTCGGTTATAAAATAAATGCGGGCAATATAAGCAAAACTTGAAGTAAAAAAACGCGGCGTAGCTTACGGTCGGTTCCTCGGTCGCCGCGATTCTGTCGGGGGCCTCAGTTCGGAGCGCCCGTTGAACTTTCTCTCTTACTGCTTCGGTGACGGAGAGCGAAGCGGGGAATTAGGCAGCCGGAAAAAATTTTTTTCACCTCCTTCAAGATGACGTCGCGGATAATCTCTCCGATATCCGCGAGGCTTGAATCGACGTCGAGGTTCGAGAACGCAGGAACACCAACGTTGCGCAGCAACTTGTAGTGAACGGTACGGTCTTAGAGGGCCCGATTGATGTTCGTTGCCTCTTTTACGAAACCATCGACGGTGGTAGGTGGATTTCGTAAACAGCCACCAGAAATCCATTCTCTCAAGACGCGCATAAGGGTCTCCAGCTACTTTAATTTTTTTTTTTCTACGGCCTGGGGATTCGCGCGGTTGAATAGGCGAAGAAAGTCCTGGACAAAGCTCATCACTATTTCTATTGGTCCTTGAGCTCTCAACTGCTGCTGCTCTTCGGCGCGTTCCCGTCGTTGCTGGTTCGCGAAGCTCCGACGCAGTTCTGGCTTTAGGAACTCCCCGTTAGTAAGCGACGCTTCATGATTTTTGGACCAGCGTCGCGCGGTTCTCTCGATGGAAAAATACACTTTCTGAAGTCGTTGTTTGAAAGTTCATTGGTAATAGAGCGCCAGTGGCCGTTCGTATTGCTTCAACCTGTCTTTGAGGTCTTCGTAAATCTCGCCGTGGAAGTTTGCTGGAGTTTGAGGGGTGGTGGGCATGTAAACGACTTGGAAGCCAGCGGCGGGAGTCTCAGTTTCTCAGTTTGCAGACCCCGAGAGGCCATAGTTGGTTTCGTCGGCTTCTTCCTACTTCGGTCCGATGAAAATCAAAAATTCCTGGGCATCACATTGTTTGCGACGGCTCTCTTGAGCTTCGGTTTTTTCAGCAGGAGGGAGTCTTCCGGGAGTTGAAGTCGATCGGATCATGCTGCTCTTCGGGGGCGTACGAAGAAGGGGCATAAGGTGCTACCCCGCACCTTCACCAGAAATGTCACGAATGACAGCAGCAGAAGCAGCGAAAATCCTGTTTAAAACTGAAAGTTTAAGGGTCGAACTTATGTCAAACAAAATCAAAAACGAGCGTGTAGACATCACACAAGCAGGTGGCGATTTGGCGGCATAACAGCAAGCGAGAGCGAAACTGACTCGGCGAGATCACGCGCAGCTCTGTATCTAGACCGATTTCGTATCTCGAAAATTCAGGCAAGAAGGTTCGATCGTCGAGCGTTCGGGGTGAGAATGAACAGGCACTTTGGAGAGCAAGAAAGGAGGAGGAAATAATAAAAGTTAGGTTCAGAGTAAAAATAAACTCGAACTTTTTAAGTGTCCCTTACAGAGCGCTGTTTGCTCGGCCCCGAGCGCGGCAATATGCCGTCGGCTTTGCGTTTGACGTGAGGACTATGTCGCATATAATTTTCCAGCAAAATCAATGCCATATACGTTATTGGGGAGCCTATATAAAAAACGACCCGCACAAAATAACCGACACAAAAATAGAATTGAGATAACGACATGGAGGTGAATAAATCAGCATCACGTGACCTGGCATTTTGTGCTGCGGGGCACATCATGTTACGTGTTCACTTGACGTGATGTAGCATGAGCCAACAAGACTAGGTATGAAGTTATAAACGTCATCGCATCGATGGTAACGATCATACGACGTATTAAGCAGGATACTGTCTTTTAAGCGATGATAAACTATGTATTGTTGAGAACCAAAAAGACCGGTCTGTTTAAGTCGTACACCAAACGAGTTCTGGGAATTACAGGTTTTATTTCATATATACGCTCATTGTATGACTAGCTGGTATTCCGGCTATTTGTTTTTTCGCTTTCTACTCTATATTTATTTGTGAACTTGTATAGCATATTACATGTGATATCATGCCCCGTACCTAGCACAGCCAGTTGGGGGCGAACAGTTTTCATAAATAAATAAAATAAATATACAAAATCTTATCAAACCTATGGCACGAAAGCACATAAAAAGAAATGAATGATGCATAAAAATTGAGTCACTAGCACAGCGCAGTAATTGCTTTAATTACCTCACGCGGCATTTTCCACAATTGTGGAAGAAGGCGCGCTGCGTCAGAACGCTCCGCACTAAAAATTACAAATCTGCCTGCAATACGAAGGCCTTCCTAAACTTTTTGTTTTTATTATATTTATTTTCAGCATACCGGCGTGACTTCCTGTGACGGTACATTTGATGCAGATGTCGGTGCGCTGCGGCAGATGAACTTCTGTCGATCAAAGTCTGTTGCGACGTCCATCGAACAAAGCGGATGCTCATTGGTGTCATCGGGGACGCCGCTTAGATCGCAGAGAAACACATCCTGCGCAAACATGGGCACGCTCCACATTAGCGAAAAAGACGTTCCCGTGAAAGATTTGCCCCCGTACAATGAACCGACTCTTCCGAATGTCACCAACGCCGCCCCCGACGAGAAGTCTCACGCTTTTACGCTGTCATCGGAGCGCAAATCGTTCGGATCCTCAGACAACGTGCCCCCCGAAATGGGTGCATCGAGTGGCGGCGGGCTTACAAAGAGCCGCTGGGAACTTCTGAGGCAGGACGTGTGGCTTTTGCCGCTGGTGCACACCGAGTTCTGGATATCGGCGGCATTTTCCTTGATCCAGCCTTACTTTCCAAATCTGGTGAGTAGTAATAACTGCGTTTTTTTTAAGGTGCACTTTAAGCCTTACATACACCGCCAACACATCCTACAAGAGCCTGTCTGCAGTCGTGTGCGAGGCATACATATGTGTATGAAGCAAAAATGCTGGGATCATTGTTGTAGCGCGTATCTGCAGATTATTCTGTCGTCATGTTTGCAGCAAACCCCGTGTTTTTTGTATGATGTATGAGCATTGAGACGTACCATGGCTTAGGGTTTGGTTCGGAATCGCTAACTATCGGGTCTTTCTGCCAATATGTAAAAAGCAAAAACAAAAAAAGAGAAATGTTTGAGTGAGCATGTGTATAAGGTTGAAAAAAAAGGCAAGCATGTTCACCGGGATGCGCTTGAAACGCCAATGATAAGACTTCTTTAGGCAGGTTAACGAATAAAAACTTTTTCACTTTTGTTTGTTTATTGCTTTTTTGACTAAGTGTCAATTTTTTGGACACTTAAGGAAATTTCGCGAGACACTGCCTTGGGAGGCTAATTTCATATTAGGTTTTACGTGTCCTTGTTTTGAGCCCTCACTTTATCACTGTGTGATTAATCAGTGATGTGCTCTAACATTTCATGGGGCTGCCGTATATCATCTCGAGACTGCTATAAATACTGCACGGCTTTACTATGTGGACATCTATTGCTAGTGTTGCGAGCATCGCCGTTCACCAAAAAGCTGAACAGTTTAACATGGTTTCCAGGTGACGTCATCGCACTGTATACTGGTGGTCATTGCGATTTGTTCTTGTTTCGAAAGTTATATCTGGTAGGGCAAAATGCACGCTGCGGAAGGTTCGAGCTCACTGAAAGCCATGTATTGAAGAAGCACAAATTCCTCTTCTTGGTGTGTCGTCGTTAAGAACGGCGCGAACGTCTGGCACGATGAAAAAGCTCGTCGTGGCAAGAGTGTCTTTCCAAACAAAGTAGTTTGCAAACAAAGTAGTACAAACTAACCCGTAAAAGGGTTGATAACTGGGCTAGTTGGTAGTTAGACATATTAACGGCATTAGCGCTCTTTTCTGTCCCTTCTCTCTTCCTCATACGTGTGCGCTAATGCCGTTAATTAGTACAAACTAACCCATCTGTCACTATAGTTTCCGGGGCCACGCTTTCTGCTCTGCGCCCAAGATACGGGGCAGAGGAACCTTTACGAGACAGTATATGCTTTTAAAACTAACCAATTACCCCCCCCCCCCCACCCTATTATTTCTTTTTTATGATTTCGTTGCACCTCCAGAAAATTATTTTTATCCTTGAGTGACTGCCTCCTCTATTTTGAGAGGGTGTTCGTTCGACAATTATATGTATGTCACTTGATAACGGTAATCCTCCATTTCTTTTACTCTGCACCCAACTGTGAAGTTTAAACAAAATAGAGAGGTGATCTTAACTTCGAAAAGAACATGAGAACGACCATCCTGTGAGACTGCCAACGTTCTGTCGCCGCTCTGAGGCCACTAGGACTTTTCTTTTCTGGTATCGCTCCCGTACACACTTATAGTTATATGAAACATCGGATTAATAAGTCGCATTTAGTCCTTTCAATATTTCCAATCCCGGGGACAAACTCGTGAGGCACTTCAGCAATAACGAAAACATGTTTGGGTGCCTCAATGATGAGCATACATGTAAAATCGGTCGTGCAACATTTTTTGTACTTTCAGTAAATACCACGAACAATTAATCCTTGTCGTTGATAACTTGAAAAACCATCCATTAGTTTCCCCCTCCTAGCAATGGCAGACGCAGACTAAACAAATAAAAGAAACAGCTTTCCTTTCTTCAACTTGCAATTAGAACAAGCAGCTACGTGATTTGAAGCTAATATATATAAACCGTGAGTGTTCGTCAAAGTCATACGGTGGGTTCGCAAAGCATAAATCATAGGCTGAGTTCCAAATATATAAATATATATACAGGAACAGCACCTAGGATAAAAAGGAGGCACTCAAGAGAAATATGCTCACAAAATATTTGCCCTTAAGGAGATGGTCGTCCAAGGTCGCCAAAAAGTGATCTGCAGATACGTTTCGAGCCTGGTAGGCCATTCGTCAGTCCAAACAAGAGTTGTTTGGACTGTCAAAGAGCCTACCAGGCTCTAAACACATCTGCAGATCACTTTTATGGCGACCTTAGACGACCATCTCCTTAAGGGCAAATATTTTGTGAACAGAAATAAATAAATATATATATATATATATATATATATATATATATATATATATATACAGTAGGGCTAATATTATCTTCAATTGAACACGAGCTCTTACCCGAATGTTTGGCGATGCTGATTGTTATGAATCCAAGCACTCGACTCAGAGTCATGAAAATTGCGAACTCACGGTGGCACGTGACTCTCAGTGCGAAGTCGTGATGTCATGTTACGTCACAATGTCAACAACGTTAATACATCTAGTGGCGTTCTCAATTCAGATCCACTTAACGCAGTGAGTGACGTGACTCACGGGGTCGCGTGACGTGACATTAATTGACAGCATGTCTTAACACCATGACGTCAGGTGACCACGTGACGCATGGTTAATCATAGTACCAATACGAAAGTGCCACGAAAACACACAATTTATCATAAAAGAAAATCAAGGGCCAATTTTATATTCAGAACTAATAATTTTGTAATACAAGAAAAATATACCGTGAACAGTTTTGAACCGGTTACCGTTATATTTTTTTCGGTTCAGTTTCAAGATGGCGGCGAAAATTTCAGTTCCGGTTCAACCAAAAATAACGGTTCAGTTTCGGTTATTCGTTTAGTTCGGTTCACGTTCGAAACCCTCATTTTGTATACAGGATGTTTCAAATTAAATTTCACACATTTAAAAAAAAGAGCTCTATTTTGCACCTTAGTTTTAGTCTTAGGCGAACACTAAGTGCAAGGTAATTGTAGTCGTGAATTTTCCAATTAGCACAAATTTATAAAAAAAAAATTAATTACAATAATTAGGGTATATATCTATATTGCGAAGTTCAAGGCAGTCTTCTTCCAAGATTGTTTCACTTTTTTTTTCCAGAATTCTAGTAGTCAGCCCGTGTTCTGAAAAATACGTCTCTAAATTTCCTACTCAATCCAGCTGCTAGGGAGTTTCCGAATAGTGTACGCTAATAATAGCGCCGTCGGGACTGCACATGCGCAAAACGCCACAGCGGTTTTCATCTTTCCGTGCTCTATTTCAGCGTACGCTATATCTCTAAAATGTTAGGAAAATAATTTAGGGGCCTCGTTGGTTAAACATTACGAAAAAAGAAAGCCCGAAAGACATACACAAGTGGAGACAACACAGAATAAGCGCTTACTCTCAACTGATGTTTTATATCGGCAGAGGACGAAGACGAAGACAACAAAAACTTTAACGTTAAAAGACATAAATATTTTTGAGAGAGGAGCGATATGATGTGAAAAGACTAAGTATTGGAGAAAGGTAAAAAAAATAGAAAAAAACAAAAGGAAATGAAGTAACAGAGTGTGAGAAATAAAAAAAGAAATAAAAAAGGAAGGGAATGGAAAAGGCAAAGCAAATTTAAGCAGAATTAAGGAAAATATTTAATGTGCTGTAATTATTTTGATGACAAAGTCACAGATGGAGCACTCATGCAGGCGTTTCCTTTGGCCGCAGTGACTTCAGCCTAAAAAGTTTCGCGAGTTCGCTTATCGGGATGTATAGCGAGATCCCCTGACGAAGAGGATTTCAGAGATAGCACATGTTTTCTGAACCTTACGTTAATGTATCTTCCGGACTGTTCCACATAAAACTTCCCTTTGGGGAATGGGATCTCATACACTAGTCAGCTGCGACATTTGTCGCATTTGTGGTAGTGTCTAACGCCGCATTCGTCAGGCTTTTTGCGATGGGTGTTGACTTTGGGGCAGATTTGTTTTTAGCTTATCGGGGTCTGAAAGCAAAACCGGCACATCATATTTGTAGGCAGTTCTCCCGAAGTTATGAGAGATACGATGGATATAAGCGACGACCGCCGGTTGGCTCTTTTCTTTGATTACCTCTCTTGCTTGTTCTGTTTGGTTCGATCATATATTCAGTGACGTCAAACAGGATGGAAGTGGGGTAGCCTGATGCCTTGAGCCCTGATACTTGCGCGTCAAAGCTTCCCCTTGCTGAATGAATACAAGACGTTTTCAGGGCAGCGCTCAAACAACTAAAAACTATGCCTCTTTTAACGAGTTTTGAGCGTGCAGATTCATACTGAAATTTTTGTTTCTAAGGTCTACGTAAATACATCCAATAGACATGGTCACTTGGAAGGTAAGTCGCTTATCAAGACATGGGAGCTTAATTTAAGTCGTATTCTCGTGGGTGAAGTTGAGTCCTTGGCCCTCACGTAGAAATATTCTGATTATGGTGTTGGTGTCGTTTGCGTCAGGTAGTTTGCCATAAGCACAAGACAGTCGTCAACGTATTTGAATATGCGTGCGACTGGATTGTAGGTCAAGCCCTAGATTATGCCACTGTCACAGTTCGAAAAAAATGAAAGCCGCTTACAACTCCCTGTAACGCCGAATTGGAGCGCAGCTCTTGAGGAGGAGGAGGGAAGGGCACTGGGGGGGGGGGGGGGTTAAACTAACCAGGGGGGGGGTCACGTGACCCCCAATGCCGATGATGTCATCACTGACGTCACTGATGACGTCATCAGTGACGATGACGATGCGGGTACCGATGACGTCATTAGTGACGTCACTGATGACTTCACCAGTGATGATGACGATGACGATGCGATTGTCGGTGACGTCATCAATGACGTCGCTGATGACGTCATCAGCGATGATGACGATGACGATGCCGATGCCGGTGACGACATCAGTGACGTCACTGATGACGTCATCAATGATGATGACGATGACGATGACGATGCGGATGTCGGTAACGTCATCAGTGATGGTGACGATGACGATGCGGATGCCGGTGACGTCATCAGTGATGATGACGATGACGATGTGGATGCCGGTGA